TTTTAAGTCACCACTATGGTGATTAGTTTTGGCTAGGTATTTTGACCTTTGTCACTTTTAATTACATTTAATGTTATTTTATTACATGCTCTTCCAGCCAATGTAATAGTGGTACAGAACACTGTGTTACATGAAAAGCTAGGTAAGTAATAATTGCCATCTACAATATATTATCTATATCTCCCTATGTAGTATGTGGAAATATTATGTTACAAATGAAATAGTTCATTACAATATATCTTTCTACAATTAAGGTAAGTGGATGTTTACCATTTTGCTAAAAATGATGCTTGTTTATTGTCAGCATTATTGGGTTTTGTATGTCAAGTGGTGATATCTCATACTATGAATATTCCCAGTTATCTCTGTGAACCTTTAGTATTAAATATCAACATACTAAAACCCAATGAGTCTGACAATCAACAAGCATCATTTTAAATGCCTCTGTACGTTACAAAATAAGTCAAAAGAGACAGCCCAAACAACAATAGCAACAGCAATATAAACCAGCAAATAGTAAAACAATGCCACCGCTTCATTTATTCAAGCCAGATTGCATGCTGGGAACATCGCCAGCGTAGTACTGTAGACATTACACTAGTTAATCTGTAAATATACGAGAGATTACTGTAATGCAGACACAGTTAATCATTAGGATTCTACAACATCACAGTCATTCAACTCCCGTGGGATTGCAGTATACAGGCGTCTTTTAATTGTAATTCCAGAATTACTACAGTGCAAATTACTGTGAAAGGTCAGCAACTAGCAGTCAGGACAAATGTTAGCACTATGTTTAGTAAATTTATAATAAGCTACTTTGTATGCCAGGTCCTACCGTAGTATAGTTGTGAGAGACGTTCAAAAGATCCATGCATCCCTGAGCATCAGCAAACGAACGGATCCCCAGGCAGTTGGATGGGTGCAGTTGTTTCATCAGAAAGTTACAGCAGACCTGAATAACTTGTGAGAGCTGGAGGAGACAAGCAGCAGCTAACAGACTTTCAATTGTGTCCTCTTTTAGCTCCAGGACTCCTGTACATTTGGAGAAAAGAGCTAAATATGCTAGAAACTTTTCAGAATTATTCCAGGAACAAAATGGTATGTTTAACCTGTGTAGACAGAAGAATGTTAAACAGTTAGTTTGGGTTTGTAAATTAGTGTTTTGCCCACTGGCATCGATGAAAAACTTATTTGTGGATGTGACACTTCTGCTATGAACAGCAGATTTAAATAGTCCACAAGTGGAATGCGGATACTCACCAGTATATGCGAAATGAACCAGTGCTCGCAACGCCTCAGGATCTACACCCTCCATTTTAATTTCCTCTTGTTTTGCCTCCCTCACATCATTGGTGAACATGGCAGCAAAGTAGTCTGAAACTGTGCTCAGGACAAGTCTGCAAATAATTGTGCAAATAGTTTATATATGCGACTGCGTACTTCAAGATCAACTCAAACAACTTCTCGAGAGCTGTCTTCGTAGAAAATTTTTCCCTACAAAAAGATTTATTCGAGAGCCGTCTTCGTAGAAAATTCCTCCCTACAAAAAGATTTATCTCAGCGCAGCTATTTTCACCAGATTGTTTCATGCAGCTCTGGGATGATGTTGATTGAGCTCAGTGTCAAACTGGGAGACGCAGTAGAGATTTGGCTACAGATAATTTTTCAACAGAATAGCATCAAAACACTCAGCGGCCAAGAGATTTCTTTAAATAAACAGTCTTTTAGAGTCCTTGAAGAAAGTTCAACTCGCTCCGTAGTTTGAAATGGAGTGTGCAGCACAGTTTTGACACTTCTTGAATCTGCCATCTGCATATTTGTCCTTAAAGGAACAGTTCACACAAAATGAAAATTGTTATCATTTTTGTTGCTCCAAACCCAAAGACTTTTTTGATTTTTGAACAATGTGCTCACCACTTTTTTTCATGAAATTTCAATGAATTGGCCTTGATGTTTCAACCTTCAAAACGAAAAATTTTAATGAACATGCGTGCTATATTTCTAGTTTTCTGAAGCCGTAATATTGAGTGAGATATAGACCGAAAATCATTATTTCCTGAAAATCATTCATTCTTTTTATCTATACAGTGAAACTCCACTCAACCAAAACTTTTATAATATAAAAAATACAAAAAGACATTGTCTGAAGAGACTCAATCACTTTATCTGCTGAACAGATTTAATTCGGCTTTTATTCAAATATAAACATTGACCAATGCACATACATAGAGCATATTAAATATGGTAAACAGAAGCTCAACCATTCTTGCTTGATTTGTGAGAACTGATGAGGTTTCATTTGTGTTTTGGAGAATGACAAATTTTTCATTTTTGTTTCACACAAAAAGCTAAGATATGACTTCAGAACACTTTTCATGACTTCAGAAGACTATGAAAGAATATAGCACATAAATCATAAGCGACACTTTAAGCTCCAGTCCACATTTATTGCATGAAAACCCAAATTTTCTCCTTTCATGTTCTGTAAAAGAAAGTCATACCTTTTGAGTAATTATTAGGCATACTATTCCTCCACAGTTAACTAATGGCGCTTTTCCACTGCGTGGTACGGTACGGCACGGCACGGCTCGGTTTGCGTTTCCACTACAGTTCAGTACCGCTTTAGAGTGGGCGGGATAATTCACATGTCGTTATAGTTGCGCCGCCTCTACTACCACGACTCCTAAAAAAAAAAAAAAAAACCTTTTAAT